CTCCCTCTCCTCGTTCCTCCTGGGCTCCCTCTCCTCGTTCCTCCTGGGCTCCCTCTCTTCGTTCCTCCTGGGCTCCCTCTCCTCGTTCCTCCTGGGCTCCCTCTCTTCGTTCCTCCTGGGCTCCCTCTCCTCGTCTCTCCTGGATTCCCTCTCCTCGTTCCTCCTGAATTCCCTCTCCTCGTTCCTCCTGGATTCTCTCTCCTCGTTCCTCCTGGATTCCCTCTCCTCATTCCTCCTGGATTCCCTCTCCTCGTTCCTTCTGGGCTCCCGCTCCTCGTCCCTCCTGAGCTCCCTCTCCTTGTTCACCCTGGACTCCCTGTCCTCGTCCCTCCTGGGATCCCTCTCCTCGTTCCGCCTGGATTCCCTCTCCTCGTCCCTTCTGGACTCCCTCTCCTCATTCCTCCTGAGCTCCCGCTCCTCATTCCTTCTGGATTCCCTGTCCTTGTTCACCCTGGACTCCCTGTCCTCGTTCTCCCTGGGTTCCCTGTACTGGTCAGAGTAGCGGCTGTACTTCTCCCGGTGTTTCTCCGAACCATTTCTGTACCGGTCCTCTTGTTCCTCCTCTCTTGGACTCGAATCATCACGGTCTCTCTCTCTGGATTTCGATCTTTCTCTTTTTCTACTGCGATGTCCATTATCTTTGCTCCAGTGTCTGTAATTTTCATCATCAGACAAAGAAGCTCTTCTGTCTGCTTTCTTAACTTTTGAATTACTGTGTTTATTTTCCAGATCCTTAGTTCTGTCATGGTTCCTATCTTTTCCACCATGGTAACCATCTCTGCCATTGGACTCATCTCTGTGATATTTTGACACATCATCTCTGTGTGATTCTCTTAAATGTCGGTGATTTCTTTCTGATTTGCTCTCAGTATCACTTCTTTCCTCTTGATGCCTCCTTCCCATTTTCTTTTCAACGGATTTCCTTTTCCTTTCTTGCTTTTTCCTGGAAACTTTATTGGATTCTCTATTTTTCTTCTGCATTCTCCTTCTTCTAGTTTTAGAAACATCTGAAATAATAACAAATTACGGGACTAAGATTGCATTTTAATTTAATATGTTTAACTTATTAAATTACAAATAAAATTGTAGAGAGCTATTTTTTTTCCAAAAAATTGTGTGTGCATTGTATAAGGACAAAAGCTCCAAAATAATGAACTCTGATTTTTACCCCTTAGCTCTCTGCAAGTGATGCCTGTCTTTTGAAAACCTCCACCTGTCATCATCCTCTTGTTGACTTGATACGAAATGACCACGCATAGGCTGTAAAGTTATACATCAAAGCACTCTCACAAATAATCTTTTTTTTGATGACCTTTCCCAGACTATCCAGTCCCAAAATCATTTACTTTTCCTGGAAAAGCTTCTCAGTCAATGGAGATTAAAAACAGCAGATGGGGAAAAATCTCCAACACTATCCTATGCGGAAATAGAGGGATGATGAAATGGCTTGAGATAATGGTACTGCAGCAATATAACAATGGCCCTCGGGCTCAGTTTTTCAGGAGAAGTAGTGACAGCTTTGTCAACAAGATTAACTTCTGTATTTCTAAATACACAGCAATGCTCATCTCAGTGGAAGAGGCTTTACCTTTCCTGTTTGCTCTTTATTAGGGATCTCCAGATTCCACTTGACAGTATTTATCACTAACTGCCATTTAGAATAACCATTAATTCACCTTTTTGTATGAACTACAGTATCACACCAGCTTTTGAAAATATCACACCATAAACTGACTACTACATATAACATCTGAGTTCTACAGCAGTTTTCTAATCTCATGTCTGAACTAATGCTTTCTGACATTCTGACAAATGCAATGATGGATCAATTCAGATACATTTTAATGCATTAAGTTTTTTAAACAGTGTTTTCCATACTATTTTACATCCACCAGAATGCAGAAAACGACCCAAGAAAGTAAACAGAAAAGAACCAGGTGCTTTGATAACAGATAAATTTCATCCTCTGCTGGACCTGTTTTGGTTAGAAGTACCTCCCCAGAGCAGTGCTGAGCTGAGCTAGCTGAGGAAGTCCCAAACATTAACTGGCAGTAAGACAGTAACCTGTAATTTAGTTGTATACTCAATTTCTCAGTTTCTAATTAGCAGGTTTTCTATTTTTCTCTTATACACTGCACTGTTAAAACACTGAAATACTGCAGCACATTGCTCTGAAAAATGCTTTTTAACTCTTCCAAGTTATTTTACAGATTTGAAAAGCTGCAAACACAGGAAGACTTGGAGTTATAACCAGTAATGGGCCTCAACTAAGTTTACCATTAGAGTACAGTTATTTCCAATTAGTGTTTTGATCACTGTATTACAGTACATGAAAACCTGAAAAAGAAAAGTGAAACCAGGCTGCAAAGGTATCAAGATTCAAATTTTAAAGAATATGTTCCTGAATGGAAAAAAGGCAAGTAGGAGAAGCCATGGTCCTAAACTTTGAAAAATAAGTGTTCCCACTGGCAGACTGCAGACTCGGTTTGTCACTAAGGACTTCCCCCTCTGGTTCCTATCAAGCAGCTCAGCAGAGCCATCTGGCTCTGTGCTGAACCAGTGCCTCCTCTGACCCTGTTAACTGTGCCCTCCTCTAGTGCTGTCGTCATTAATGCGATTAGTGTGATGACACACAACCCACACTCCTGTGCACTAAGACTGTGATGGAGAACTAAAGTGCATTTCCAAAGCATGAGCAGTTCATACCGTTTTTATTTTATAAATCAACACTTCCACTTCAAAGGCACATAATAAATCAAATTAACTTTGAATCAGCAAACCTCTGTACTGCAGGAAGTCATGCTGTGCTATCATCTGCTCATGTGTATATACTGGGGGAGACTGCACACACTAACTCATACTAGCATGTACTTTAAAGACTAAGCAGTGTTTATGACAATTCATGTCAGATAGAGGGTTCTACATCAGCAGGATGGTATAAGATACTAAATGCTAATTATAATGCATAAAAATACTAAGTTGTTGGCAAAAGCTAATTTTTCCTTGGACATTTCTCTACAGACAAGAACCTTCACAGTATCACCACACAAACTCCTCCTGAAGAAGAGGAATTAGAAATGGAGCCTCAGATGAAGAATAATATTTAAATACACTGCTAGAACTGAAGAAAGTGATTTTTGACTCATGAAGAAGCACATATTTACTGGGAAGGACACGAGTAGTATCAAGCTCACTCAGTCAAGCCAAGCAAAACAGAGTTGTGGACATGAGTCTCTACAGTTCACCAGTAAACATCCCACAGAAATATTAATAGGGAATGACTCTAATTCCTCCATTCTCCAATAAACTGAGATCATAGTAGTATGCAACAGGTATCAACTGTGTAAAAAAAGTAATCTACAAAACAATGTTTCTCAGACATTTAAGTCTCTAAAAATAGAACTCAATTTTTCTAAATTCCAAAATAAATTTCCATGAGCAATATTTAATATTTTAAAACTAAGTTAAAAATGAATTGATTAGATTTTAAAGCAGAGAAATTAATACTGTTTATAGCCAGATTTTCCTCAAAACAAGCATATATAGAAACAGAAATAAACAGATGTAAATAAACAGAAGTAAAAGAGAAGTAAATAGTTATACAGCTAGTGTTTAAGTACCTGAGTCACTGCTGCTGTCACTGCTAGATGAAGAGTCACTGCTGCTGGATGACTCTGAGCTAGTACTGCTGCTGTCAGAATCAGAATCTGAGGAAGAGTCTGTCTCTGAAGATGAAGAGGAATCCGATGACTCAACATTTTGCTTCTGTGTCATAATTAACTTTGGTGCATTTTTAAGATGCTCCCGTAATTCATCCCTAATTAGCAAAAAAAAAAAAAAATTGTTTTTCAATTTTATTTTTTTGTTTGTAGGGGGAGGAAAGATGAAGAAAGTGAATATCAAATCAGAAGTGTTCCTCACGTTAGTCCTCCAAGGCCAATAGAAGTGAAGAAATTGATGGCAAAGCGAGTGTTTCTTGGGTTATCCCGAGGCAATAATCCCTCAAAGAACGGCTGCAGTGTCCTGATGGAAACAAACATCTAAATTAAACACCATGCCAGCTCAGCACTCTCACTGACATCAAGAAACTGAAAAAAGAAACTGTACGGATCTCCACAGGAGAGCAAGGTTTCTCTTCACGTATTTTTCAACACTTTCATTGTTTGCATCTATGATGGATCTAATGAAATGCTATTTAAAAATTTGCTCTTTTATGAAAAGCAAACATCTTCACACACAGAATTGCTACATACTGACAGATCATGTGAAGCCCTTAAGTGACCTGTGAAATTGCAGTAGCCTGTGACAGCAAAGGATAACGTGCACTGACCGAGAAGGTCAAAGATGTATGTACCTATGCTGAAACCCCACTATACAGGGCTAGTATAGTTTCAAATTTAAGTTTACAAGAGCTAAATCATCTACCAAATTCTTCATCATACATAGAAGAAATGCCAACTTAGAAGAAACAGCTCAAGCAATTGAAAGTAACATTGCCAGAATGCAATGCATTAAATTTCATACAGAGTTAAAAGAATGTGTTATTTACACTACACTTAAGCAACTGATCCTAGAAAACCTGTTACTAATAATTGTGTGCTTTTTTCCTAATTTTTGTCAGAAAGAGAAGCCATAGTGTCATTTAATACGCAGCTATATAGCTGACAGTATATACAAATAAATTCACACATGGAAAATTCTTACACAAAGATGAATATCATTATGGGGGGTGAAAGGGGGAAGAGATATCTTGCTAACAGTCATGCACATACTTGAACCCAAAATGATGGTAATACACTCAGCTTAATATGACTCTTTGCAATGACTAAATCTATACATGAACTTATTCTTGAAGTACTGCAGCTACAGAACTTATTTGAACCTGAACAGAGCTTTTATCTGTACTTTTTCAGATAAAGGAGCTCATTAAATTTACAGTTTTGAAAATAAAATTTCTACTTACTCATCTTTTAATCTTGCATTTAAATTAGGAAGTCCCATATATTCACTGAGTTCCTGAAAGAATATTTTGACAAAAATTCTACTGGAGGATGTGGTAGTTTCTTCACTCAGTATTATACATTCAAGGACCTGAAAACGTTCAGAAAAATATAAACCCTTAAGTTTAAACATACATTCTTTTATTTATCTTGAAAATTTTGTTAGAAATAACAAATAAAGACTGATTTTTATTTCTTTTTTTTCTTTTTTTTTCAAAAGACCATGAATTCTATGATTCCTAGTCAAGACTGTCTTTCTCAAAAATTCTTTTCTACCACCTGGGAGTGGCTTCTGATTATATTTATGCTAGTAATTCCTTAAGGATTTCTTTCATCTACAAAAGCTCCATAAGAGAAAATCAGGTGTGTGAACTTCTGGGAAGTTAGAGATTTGGGACTTAAGTACTAAAGAGGTAAAATATTTGGACTGACTTATGTGAGCCTGAAGAACGACAATTAGACTAGGCTATGAAACAAGAATAAAATGATTTGAAAAGAGAAGTTACCTTATATTTATTTCTTCATTTTTTAATGTTATTATAGCTCAGATATAATATGTTATTATATCTCAGATGTTATTATTTAATGTTATTATATCTCAGAATGCAAGACTGCTTTTACTTATATGGTACTTAAATCATAATATGGCAATATTTTTAAAAGTCTTATAATTCTACACAACTTTTAATTTAATATACTAAAAGTTCAAAATTCTTTTCTAAAAGATGTACATTTTAATCAACCAATTCCAGCTGAGTTCCATAAAGCAACAGCTTAAATCAACTACTGAAAAATGGGGAGGAAGAATTATGATGCAGAAGAGGCAAAAAGAGGAGATGGAACCAACCAGAATTGTTCAACAGTGTCTGAGAAGATACTTAACATAATCCAGTTTGCTACAAGGACAAGTAGTTCCAAATTGCAGAACAAATACTAGAACTAATACATTATATATTATTGTGGAGTACTGGAGATTAACTCTTGAAAAAGAAATCTATGACAATAGCTCTTTGTTTTTAACTTACACTCCAGGGAATTGAATCAGTGTACAGTAGATGAGCAAACATCTTGGCAACATTTCTCAGTTTGTTCGTTTCCAAACGATGAATGGTATCATATTGTTCTTTGAAAATAGCTTCAAAGGATTCCATGTATTCTTTTTTTAACATGCAGAAACGCTGAGACAAAATTGTACAATTTAAACAACCAGATTAAACAAAATACTAAATATGCAAATAACCTACATGTAAGTGACCTAATGGTGTGAATATTTACTGCAAAATTTCCTTTTTAAATAACCCTTGGAGGAAGAGAAAACACATTCAAATGGATATATTTTATTGCTTTGAGCAGTTGTCAGAACAAGAAACTCATCTGAATTGCAAAGTAGTAATTATAAATTTTGAACTACAGCAAATTATCCAGCAATTTGTTTTACTTCTATACATCCAGTATTTTCAACAGATATAACCCCACTTTTTTCATGACATTACCGAATGACTATTTCAATTTAGAGAAGCAGCAGGAAACACAGAGGTTAAGACATTTTGGATCTATACATTCCAAAGAATATGGAAATAAAAATTTATATTCATCTGAACATGCAGATTTGTATAGTTAGTGCTTTGTAACTGACTGTCAGCAGATGGATTTCCTCAAGTACTGGATCACAAACACATATGAGAAAAAACACTCTCTTTCAGCATAACTTGCCCCCTTTAGAATACAAGTATTTAATCTTAACTCTTTAGATCTGTCAATATTACTGATAAGAAAAACCTAAGTAAGAAATCACTGCAACTAAATCAGCAGTTAGTTACACAAAAACAGAGAGTTAGCTGTTAATTGAAAAGCAAACAAAACACTCACAGGCCTGGGACAGTAAGTATTCAATCTTGTGCTCTAAATTAGTCCTACTAAGCAGTTCTGAAAGAAGTGGTAAATGACAAGTCTCCAAAATTAATATTCAGCACCGTAAAAAGGCTATTTTCTGGTAACTCATAATACTTTTGTCTTTTTAGTACCATTTCTTTGCCACTGATTTATTGTTTTACCATAATGAGAAAAAAAAGGAAGGTAAAATAAGCAACATTATAAAGGGAAAATGAGTTCTCTCATTCTGCATTCACTATGCTTATTAAAATCAAAATGTTAATTGAATCCACTAACACAATTAACTAACGTAAGCATTTTCAGAATGATAAAAAGGCTATTAGTTTTATTTATCCATTAAAACTTAAGTTTGACACACAAAAAGTAGAGTAAACCAATGAAATTTTCTATCATAAAGTGTAAAATTTTAAAACAGAACTCACCCCAGCCAGTAACCCAAAGAATTTCTCGTATGTTCTTTGCTGAGCACAGCAGTCAAGTATCATATTGCAGAGTTCTTTCTGGGTTATGGAAAAAAAAAAATATTTCTTTAGGTAAATTCACTGTAGCAGCAAAAAATCCATCACTAAGTACCAAATAATTGAAGAAAGCCTTACACAAGTACGAGCTTTGAAACGAGCATTTACATAAAACTTCATTGGTGACACCAGTAGTTTTGTGAATTCCTTTGGGATGTGAATATGAACTTTTGCCCTTCAAATTTCCTCTAACACACTGTGTATCTAATAAAAAAAAAAGTCAGAACTCGTTTACAAACTGACTTTACCACAGTGAAAAAAGGAGATAAAAGGTAAGGTTTTAAGGGCTTTTTTGGTGGTTTTGGTTTTGTTTGTGTGTTGCTTGTTTTTTTTGGGTTTGTTTTTGGGGTTTTTGGTTCGTTTTAGATAACACCGATTCCTGCATTTATGGAAAATGAAAACTCTTCACAACTTTCAAATGCCAAAATGGCTTACAGACAAGCCATTTGAAAATGCCATGTGCATGGTTAGCAGTGTTATTTCCAAAATCAGAAGTATCTGTAGTTTTTGGTATATACTAATACCTTTAACTACTCAATCATCGTTTTCCTGACAAGCTTCTGCAAGCAAAAGGCTGCATTACAGTGCAATTGCTTCAGTCCTGAGGGTGATGTTCAGAAAGACTAAACTCAACCCTGGGAGGCCAACATGCCTAGACTTACTCTATAACAAAGAGAACAAGAGGAACTTTTCTAAAGCAGCTGTTTTAGGCTCATATTCAGAATCACCCTTTAGAAAAGCATCTCTCCTTGCCTAGGAAGAAGCAGAGGAAGCCTAGCTAGATTAGTCTCCCAAAACTTTTGTGCATCCCCCATTATCGACAGCCTGCCTTTCATTTTCCCATCTCCATGGTGAACACAGATGTAAGCAACAGAAGATGCTCTCCTTCCCTTACACCAGCTACCTGGAACAGTTAGTCCAGTCTTTCTGGAATACAGACTGACTGTCTCCCTTTCTCCTTGTCTCCCAATATTATCAACCCAAGATCATTATCGGATCAACCTCTGGCAGCTTCCTCCTCCTCTTCTTTCACAGGCCCCAACCCAAGAACCAGAGGGAAACACACGGATGGATTCTGCTCTGTACCCTCCCCTCTAGGACCAGCGCCCTGGTTGAGAGCAGTGAGCCAGACAAGCAAGCCTACGTGAGTTTAAAACCAAACTTATTCCCCCACTATGTAAGTTACAGATTGTAATACAGCTAGGAATTGGTTTAGGGCACATTTGGAAACATTAAGAAAAGTGAAAAAAGCATTTTTATATAAATTAACAGCCATGAAATACACAATGCTTGAACTGCATTGCAGTTTTTCCCCATTCCCTTTTTTTTTCTATTACCGTTTTCTCATTAAGACCAATTCCATAGCATAATCCAATTTATGACACTTCCAAATATGTTTCTGGCTGCCAGTCATGTATCTTTCGTTATTAATTTAATTTCTCTTTAAACTAATATTAATGTTCCCATAGAAAAGGATGATTTCAAGTGTTTTGTTCTCACACCAATTTACTATAGCATATACTAGATTTCATATTCTCCCACTTGTGCCACTCTTCCAAGCATAAATTCAGAAGAAACATTTTTGCCCATCATAAAAACTCAAAACAAATAAAAGGCCAACCACGCTGAACAAGAAAAAAAAAAAATACTCCCCCAAATAAAAAGGTAGTAACGTACTAAATAAACTCACAGATGTGTTTGAAGGCATTCCTTTTAACACTGTCACACTCTGTTAGTCTGATGTATTAAAATGCATATCAATTTTTTATATTATCCCATTTTATAGGATTGCTGCAGTTAATCAGTTTTTAAACAATAAAAAGGGTAAAGTGCTGATGTCACTGTTAATAACATCAGGAAGACTTGAAAAACAAATTACTTTTCTTCCTCATCTTAAATGCAATTATAACATTGGTATCCCCTGTGGTTTACAGTAATTAAATATTTTAACATTTTAATTAAATATTACAAAGATTTCTAGGAGGGTATCTTGAATAACCACATGCATGAAAATAGATTTGCCCATAAAGACATTCTTGCTAGTGTTATCTAAACAACTCGAGGCTAAGTTTAGGGTAACTGTCTTCCAGATTTAAAATTAACAAACTTTACAATTATTTAATTATTTTTTTGAGAGATGCAACAAGTTCAGATGGCAATTCCAGCTTAATTTCCAGCTTCAAAGGTTAGTTAACTCATTTCTGTACTCCCAATGATGTTTATGGCAGGAAGAGCCTGTGTTATTTAGCCCATCACTTGTTTTGAAGAACGGAATTAATTTGTTCCCCAATTTTACAGGCAATTCATATATTGTGTTGTTCAACGATTTTCATTCAATGCTCAGCAAGTGATTCCTCAGCTTAGTTAAGAAAGTATGTATAGCTATCCAGTCATGAAATAAACCACTTCAAAAATACCTGTCATCGCATACAGATGGTGAATGATCTTTCGTGAAGATCTTGAATTTATCATTGTATCATGAATAACAACAACACTTCCCAAAACTGCTAAGAGAGAAAATAAAGAGAAAAGCTCCCTCTAAATGCACTTCTCACACTTCTCCCTAAACATTTCCAACTAGCTCTTACCCAAACAGAGCAATGGTTTAAATGAACTGTGGTTCCACCTAACACGACAACTATCATCATATATTTGAAGATGCTAAAGGGTAACCCAGGAAAAGACAAAAACACTGGACTTGTTTTTTTTTCCCAGTTTTACCATTTTAAAAACAAGCACACCCTGCCCAGTCTATATGCTCTCAGCTTCACCCAAAGGCTATGTTCACTGCAGACAGAGAGCCAAAGTAACTCAGCTTTCTCACTCCCTTCTGATCATGGGTTACTTTTTACAGCTAGTACTTCCCCCCGTCATTGCCCCCCCATCTTTCTCCCCTCATTTTTTACAATTTCTTTAAGATTTGCATTCAGCTAAGACTGGAATTTTGGAGCTGCCCCACAGGCTGAGGAGACGTCCTTCATGAGTAGTCTCTACTCCCCCCCTAGCCGGCAGGGATGCCATCTGCAGCTCCCCTCCCTTGCCAGCCCCACAGCTCTGTTCCATCCATTGCAAACACAAACTGAAACCACCACGAGACATCCCCACCCAGTAAGCTAACACAGCTTCCTAAAATAGAAAACTATCAATGCCAACCCTTGGTTTCTAGGAGTTTCTTCATAAAACTAAAGGAATTAATTTGCTGGGAGCAAACCTAGTGAAGGACACAGGTTCATTTAAATCAACGTGAAACTGGAATTATGTGAAATGAGTGCCTTGCATTTTATGTATGTGCACTGCTTTTACAGACTCTAAATTTTTCCTTTTTTCTCCTTCATTTCACTGAAGTGTATTTAACTTCCTCTGACTACCCTAAAGCTTTGCTTACTGTTGCATATTTTAATATGTGTAACAACCACACAGGCCTATTTTTTCCAGCATCTCTGCTCTTTTTCTTCCTTATCTGTCAAATTACCACAGGGAGCCAAGGCTGGCAAAGCTATGGAAGGTGTTCCAGTAGCAGGTGGCCTCTCCGCATACTACATGCAGTGCTTTTGGCAGCTACTACACTGTCTCCAGGTCTGGTCCATGGTCAGCTAACAGTCTTCCTCAACTTTTGTCCCTTTATTTACCATTTTTTACCCCAACTTGTTCTATGTTTAGAGCAACATATGCTTAAAGCTGAATATGGTAATCAAAAATCTTGCATAAATCAGACTTAACATTTTACACAGGAATCATTAACTGGATATAAGCATAGATATATACTTTTCATTCATGCTGCTACAAGTCTGCAACACACAAACACACACAAAAGAGTCTGGTGCAATAATACATAAAAGCCCCACAGTATTTCTTTCTTTCCACCGGAAGGCTACACATGCAGAACTTCATTTTAAGTGATTTCACTAAGGTAATCTGAGCAATTTCATCCCCTTAGGTTAAATACATGCATACATACATGCTTAGAAGATCAAAGTCTAGTCAGAACTCTAGCTAATGCCTGCTATCAGTAACACACAAATACAAGCTTATTCTATACGGATTCTATATCTTGATTTTCTCTAATATCAACATATACCACAATATGGCTTGTACATGCTTTTTTCTTAATTGACAATTTATGAAAATTCAGATTGATTCTACATCTCAGGCCCATGAAAAGTCCTGCTTCAGAAGACAGGAAATCTACCTGAGGATGAGCACCTTTTACAGGCAGTAGCAACTCTGTGAACTAATCATGGTGCAGATGCCAAACCTACCAGTTGCAATACCCTCCAAATTAGAACGGAAAGCAATGAATCTAAGAAATCATTCATTTGACCTGAACAGAATTATCAGCTTTAGACCATCCCAGTCTACACCAGTTTCCTGAACAACATTTTCACTGAATGTCAAGGTAGAGTACTTCTGTTATCTTCAAGACTCAAAGCATAAATAACACAAGAGACAATGACACTCCCACCCCTCCAACTAGGGTTGCTTTGAGCAAGTGACACCATCCTGTAAAAATGAAGATGTGTCAGATGCACACATAATTCTTTCAAGAAGGCTGTGCCTACAATAATTTTTCTCATTTCAAGTAAAAAGAAAAAAAAATCCCAGGACCCATTACTTTTGTCTGGGATACCAGATTGAGGGGCAGATACAGAAGAGGCTCTAACTTGAGCGAAGTTTCAAGCACTGCTGTATACAAATTTAGTTCTTATCACAAGTAAAAAAATGAAGAAAAGCCTAAAAGCCAAACCCTTTTAGACATGCTTTCAAAGAGCAAGAACAATGTATGGTCGGTTTAATTTTTTGGTTGTCCCCACCATCCTCGAGGGAGACTGGGCAACAAGTCATGACATTTCCATCTTCAGAAAAAAAAGAAATAAAAAAGGAAAAAAAAAAACCCTATATTCCTAATGTATGTTTTCTTAAAGAAGGATCAATTCTACATCTAAGCAGTTGTCACTCTGGCATACTCTTTTATTACTGTGAGGAAACTCAACTCTTTGGGGTTTTTTTTAACTAAAAATGCCAGAAACTGAAATGTAGTCCCTCCAAGACCAGAGGCAACAAAAATGTGTTCAGGGTAAGCATAATGTAAAAAGCCTATTTCTGACATTTCAGTAGGGCTTGTTTGTTTGCTTTCCTCATAGTTCAGAAGCCAGAACAACTGATAATACCATTCTCCAACCACAGTTTTAATTTATTTAAATTTTCTTCTTTAGTAATGCATGGGATTAATGTAGCTTTAACACAGATAATAACAGTACCTTTTAAAAAAAGAGAAATAGTGTTCTGTGCCAAGCCTGAGCATATGTCCAAAAAAGCAACTGCAAGGCTTGTTTAGAACAGCTTCTCATAGGCTGTAGTACAAATTACAATAAAGCTTTTCAACTTTCGATCTGCAGGTTTCAGTTGGGTCTAAGTAACATGAATAAAGCAAACCTACTCCTAGAAAATTTACTTAGAAAAGAATTTCAACTCTTTGAATGTCTTTTCTCCTTAAAAAAATAATCAGACGACTGTTGACAACCCCCTCAGCAGCTGGTACTAAACTGCAATGCCAAAAAGCAGTATTATGTTGTTCTAGTCTGTAGATTACCCATTTGAACCTTAATCCTCTTTCTGCAAGTCAGAACTGTGAGACAGATCCATTACTGGTATTAAGCATACAAACGCTTGTGTCGCACAGCAGTTAATGAAGGTTTCAGTAAAACAGACCAAAAAAGAAAAAGGTGCTTTATGGCTAAAAAAGTAATAGTAAAGAATCATAGAATCACTAAGGGTGGAAAATACCTCTAAGATCATCAAGTCCAACCATTAACCCAGCACCATCATGTTCTCCACTAGATCATATCCGCAAGTGCCACATAAACCCATCTTTCAAACACTTCCAAGGATGGTGATTCTACCACTTCCCTGGGCAGTCTGTTTCAATAACTGACCAACCTTTCTTCTTTATTGAAAAAATTGTTCCTAACACCTAATTTAACCCTCCCCTGGTGGAACTTGAGGCCAGTTCTTCTGGTCCTGTCCCACCTTGCTTCAACCTCCTTTTGGGTACTTGTAGAAAGCAGTAAGGTCCCCTTTGACCTCCTCCAGACTAAACAACTCCAGCTCCCTCAGCCACCTACAGCACTCAAGGTGTGGCCTCATCAGTGCTGAGTACAGGGGGACAATCACTTCCCTGGTTCTGCTGGCCACTCTGTTGCTGATACAGGCCAAGACGCCATTGGCCTTGGCCACCTGGGCACATGCTGGCTCACATCCAGCCGGCTGTTGACCAGCACCCCCAGATCCTTTTTTCCTGGGCAGCTCTCTAGCCACTCTTCCCCCAGCCTGGGGTTGTTGTGACCCAAGTACAGGACTTGTCACTTTGACTTATTGAACCTCACACCGTTGACCTCGGCCCATCCATCCAGCGTGTCCAGATCCCTCTGCCTTCCTGCCCTCCTGCAGATCAACACTCCCGCCCAACTTGGTGTCATCTGCAAACTTAGTAATGGTTTATTTTGATAATGAAGACAGTGGGAATCGATTCAATAAAGGCTTCAATCTGAAGATACTAGCTCGAAAGAATAAAAAATGATTTTTCTAGCTTAAAAACTGGCAGTTAATTCAAACAAACTTCCTCCTGAGTCCATTCAGGTTTTTTTATCCACATGGACAGACTTGAGCCTTATAAATCCTTGAATAATTTTATTGCCTATAACTGCTTGTTCATTCTGCTCTCACAATGATCAGGAAGCATTTTCTTTGTTTCTTTTTGCCCTCAAAAAGGAGTTTAGTTCTATACAATGAGCAAGTCAAAGCTCTCATATCTTTGATCAAATGAGATGGAGATTAATTACAATTATTAGAGAAAAAAAGAAATCAGCACAAAGAAGAGGCCTCACATGATAAGAGGATGCAGTTTTGCAACAGTTCTGGACCTTGAATTGCAGTAATTCCTAAAACTAGTACTGAATAGTAGGTTGATACTAATTGTTGGGGTTTTCTTCCTTCCCCTATGAAATTTATTTTTCCTGAGCAGATTTTGCCCACAGAAGTTCAGAGTTGACAGAGACTGCCAGGAAATTAAATACCAGTTCTCTAAGCAGTTATCTAACAAGCAAGCAGTGTTATGCATTCTGACTGTTATATGATGTAGTACCTATATTCTAGATTGTTAGCTCTGTTCTGCAGAGCTGAATTGATTTGCTAGAAATTTTTTTTCTCTTTAGAATTCTCCAGATTATGCTTCACTGAGAATTATAACCTTGTGCGTGCTTAGTATTGCATTTCATGCACAGAATTAGAGAACTAGTTAAAAAACCCCCACCATCTCAGTTCTTAGCTTACTTCCATGTAAATTGCTTAATAACAAAATAGAACAAGAACTGAAAAACTCATAGGCAAACCAGTTCTCAAAGAACACCTAACCATAGGCCAGATCTCCCCTTACTAGTGTTATATTAATAAGGTTAGTTACTACATACATTGTTTCAAATAAAACAGAACAGTAATTACAGCCACAAGGAAATTACCAGCTCTCTCCAGTGCAACTCCCATGATGATAGCTTACAGCTGACTGAAAAGTTGTTTATAAAATTAGATGGGTATTTACATTCTACCAGTATCAAATATAAGTACCAGATGAAGAACAATTTCCTTTACTTGAAAACATACCAATTGTATTGATCTTACAGTCTGAAAACAGAACAGCTTATATCTGATACTCTACAAGATTACAGCAAAGCAATCATACTCAAAACTGCTTTAATTCAGCACACTGTTTATTCAAAGAAGACTGTGAAAGCAACAAAACAACACACTCTTTTAGCACTGTGCTAAATTTCAAACCCCACTGATAAAGTCTACAGTTGTCTGCAAATATCTTCAACCCCATCTTCTTTCAGGGACAGAACTCTCAGAGTGACTGCCATGATGCAGTACTCTTGTCATAGGATAAAAGTTTCAATAGTCCAAACAACAGACCTTTTCAAACAGGCTACAAGCAAACATGTGAGTTGCCTGACAGAAAAGAGCAAATGCATAAGACAAATTGCTTATGAAATATGTGTCAGTCTATTTGCTCTAAAGGTTGTGAAATTCATTTTGAGGAACAGCTGTAAGGAATCACTCTCACTCCTCTGGTTGCTATACAGACTAGGTCCCAGAACATGAGCAAGGATTTCAGACACTACCATAGTACTGTTTCTTAATAATGTTAATAACAAAAAAGAGTAAGAAGCAAGGCTTACAGTCTGACTTTCAGGGAAGTCCATCTTCAGCAGTTTGTGAGCACATTCTTCAAAGTCTAAGCTGAATAGAAAAAATACTTCTCATTATCTGTGCAATATATGCCATGCTAAAAACATTTCGGAATTATATTAAGATTGATTGTTGGTGCGGAAACTTCAACTATTTGGAAATAAAGTATCTCAGCTGTTTAACTTGCTGGATTTTTATTGTTGTTGTGGGGGGTTTTAATAAACATTTCTATTTTCTGAGTTTGTATCTGAAAATTAATCCAAATTGATTAAATTTGCAAACCATTTGAGAACAAGATGACTTAAGTCATTATTATTACATCATCTTACAGAACTACATAAAACATAAAAAAGCAGGAGCTCATTTTGCACATCCTGAAACACTCTGAAATGCAAGCACTGCACGTAAGATCCAAAAGCAGTATATACCACACTCTCCTCTTTACACTCCTGTTCTGAAAGCCTTTAGCTATCACCAATACCTCCTCCCACCCAAGTAAAAGATGAACAAACTTCAGTATGGCAAGAAACTATTTACCAGCCACATAGAGAAACATAAGAGCCTTTCATACCTCTCAGTATGGTATTAATTCACAAGTCTAATGATCAACACCACAACTACATTATCACACTCCTCATGCAAGTTCAGAACCTGCAGAGTATTATGAGCCATGCCTACTTTTAATGATGGAATTCAGTGGCATACAACAGGTCAATGTCCCCTCTCATCCCGATGAGACAGGAGCTATACCACCATGTTTTGATCATTTGTGCCACATACTGCAAGGGGATTTCATTCTCAAGACAACTTCAAACAGTACACTTCAGGGTTGGTATTTGTATACTTATTTTCCAAGCAATGCAGATGTTAATGGGCCTAAGGAGAACCACACTGCAGAACTCCTCTCAGAAGTGGAGAAAATGTACAGCATTTCTAAGTGTGTCCGTGTAATTTTTTTCATAAATTCTTAAAATGCTGTATAATCTAAAGATCACCGACTTTCATTCACTGAGAAAATTCTGATTACAGCAATAGTCACAGAAAAGTCCCAGTTCACTACTCAAAACATTTTGAAACAAACAAGATTTATCTTAGAAAGAGAATTTGGGTATCCATTTGTCAAAACAGTCTGCTTTACACAGTCAGGTCAGGTTCCATAATGAACACTTCCCTACGTTGTTAGGGTTTTTTTAAATTTCATATTAAGAAAGAATTTTAAAGGAAAGAAAATTAGAGTTCACCCATTTCAAAAGAACTACAGCTATAGGTGTACAAATCATATTCTATTTACCTTGACTGAATAGCAAGATAAATTGTACGACGGAAGGAGACCAGGTTAATTTCTGTTTTGTCGTGAACAGTAACTTTCTGGCCTGGAAAAGAAAAACATGGCTTTGTAAAGAACAAAAGATACATGTAAAGATACATGTAGCAATCTCTTAGCAGAGCTCTATTTATCTTTTACTACCTCTGTAGTGCAATATTTTTCTAGAAGTATTTAGGACTGCTTATCATGTTTATGTATTTTTTTAATCTTTATTTTTACAGATAAGGAAAAAAATCATTATTCGCTTCATCTGTAACTAACAGGAATAGTTAAATATTGTTTGATAATTGTACTTTTAAATTCTTCTTTTAAAAACTTTTCAGTGACTTAAGTCACTGCAACCTCTGGATTTAACATTTCTTGTCTACATTATTAGCAACCTGTTTTCTGCACAATTTAGCCATACAATGCTTTATGTTGCACCCCTGATTTTAACAGGTAATTCTTAGTTTCTATTATGTGTAGGATCTATGTTACATCATTTTGCAAAGTTCTTTTTTGTCCTGCAGTAAGTGTAGAAAAATCCGCTCTGAACCAAACCATTCTGTGAACACTCATTTGTAAGGTATTCACTATTCCTTCAGTCTTTTGAAGTCTGAAGCATAAATGATGAAAAGTTATGTGAATGATCATACTTTTCATCAGCCTGGAAGCTCTGCTCTTCTGTGAAATACCCCAGCAAACTAGTAAGGAAATTCATTACTGTTATTCCACAAGAACAGTACTTGACTGGCTTTTCAATTACTCATGCAGTCTGCACAAACATTGTTTGCAAGGCTTTTCTCACAGAAAACTGATACTGTCAAGAATAACAGGGTAAAGTTGCTTTTCTGTTTCTGCCTGTGTTGAATGTTTTAAGACAATTACTTTTATGCTGTTTGCTCGTAAACACTTAGATCTGAGAATAAGATGAAAACATCCCTTAACATTTGAACATCTTAGTTTTGCAAAACAGCTAAGAAGGTAAGCTTTCCCATTTCATCTACAATAAATCACTACTAAGGTGCCAGTTACACACTTACCATCTTCACCCTCCTCTTCATCTTCTTCTTCATCTTCCTCACTACTTCCAGCTTCTTGATCTCCTTCAGATTCACTGTCACCTTCATCAAGAATTTCTGAAAGAAGAGTATCCCATATTATTAAGGAATATAGACCATAATATTTTCATTACAAAAAAATCCCTGATCCAACACCTAAAGAGGGAAAGGATATCTCAGGTGGAGAACGTGGCACAAGCAAAAAAAAATAGGTATGTAATAATTAAAGGAAAACACCACTAGAGAAACAATACTGAGTAGCGGGAACACAATGATGAACTGAATGACAGTTGTCTAGGACAGAAATATCCCCCACTGTTAAATAATAAGGCTGGCAACAACAGTGGGATAAGTAAATGCCATAGATAAGTAAGTACATAAATATCACATATAGAATGTGAAATATACACATGAATGTCCCTACCTTTCTTCAGTGTTTTGTATTTCTCCTCATTTTCCATAAAGTTTGGATCCATCTTGAAAACATCTTTAGAACAAAAGAGAATCTTTATTTAAAATACAAATTGAAGAAAGCAATGAACATTTAATCTTGATTTTGTTTTCTCAGGGAATGCAGTCACAGAATTATCTTCCATTTCTAACTTACTAAGAACATCCTCTGGGTTGTAGTCATCTTCTAATGGCAACATATGAGTAAACTGATCCTCCTCTTCGACTAGATCTAATCCCTCTGGAATAATTGGATGATCCTTGAAGCCATCCTTCCGTACAGCAAACATGACTTCTATCATATACTGAACACGCATATCAATTTTAGATTCATGCAGAATGTGTCGAAGACGGTCAAAGATTGCTTTGGAAAAGAAAGAAATGTAAATATGAAAAGGATTTACTAAATACAAATGACAAAAAGACATGTTTTGGCTAACTATACTTACCATTGATACCTCTTGGAGAAACTTCTGTTAATTTGAGCCCACTCTCTTTAATAAATCCAATTGCTACTTCAATACTGTCATCAGTAGGCCTCTCAAGAAGCAAGGTGAGCATTTCCAAACATAAAACCTCATGAGCCTACGAAAGGAATATCAGCAAATCATTAAAATGCACAATGTTACACTATCATCACAGTGATTTACTTGACAGATCTGTACAGCCTTTGAGGATGTCACAACACACTAATCACACACACAAGGCAACAGCAGCGGGACAAAGCTGCTTAAGAGGAAGTCCAGATTTCAAATAGTTTTACTGCCTCTATTTACACCAACTTCATAGTAAATGTGACTCTGCTGTTGAAAAAGCAAGTAATGAAAAACATTTTGCCATTAAGAAAATAATAGAATGCATTTCCAAGAAGCAAATAAACCAGCACTTGCATTATGGAAACTAGTTCCAAGTGCATTTTGTCTATAAATAAATCAGTTCTTCCAGGATTAGGCATATAAGCAAACGGCACATCTTGGATTAGCTTCCTCTTTACCAAAATGCTGTACATTCCCAAAGCATTCCTGAAACACTGCTTCTTGCCATTATTTAAAATGGAGTATCCTGATTTATCACACATAAACAAGGTGCATAGAGCTGGACATAAATTTGGTTTAGATGTAACCGGAGTCCAGTTCTGCTTACACAAATTGTTGCAAGAAAATTCTGTTTAAGATCTGTGGGATAGAGCCTCAGACGACCCTTACTTTGCATCAAGACTTGTCTGAATAGTAGCCCAAACGTATATATGAAATCTAGGGAAGCTGTGGAGCGTAAGTGTAATGATAAGTGATGATAACTGCACAAACAATGACCAATGTCTTTTCTAAAGAGGTCCTAACAACTTAACGTAGGCACCACACAGGTTTTCAGGATTTCAGGGATTGCATCTTCACTTAGGCTATTGCTGCCTTAAAATTAAGAATTAGCCATATATGGTTGGGATTGAAGAGAAACATAAAGTAACATACCACATTCTGATTCATCAAATGTGCGACAAATTTTGAAGATGTTAGACAGAGTTGCTGCAAAAGAAATAAACCAGGAAATTTTAACATACAGAAAAAAAGACACTTAACTCAGACATACTATAGATTTGTGCATCTCACAATAAAATTAAGTCCTGAGTTGTTTGCAATCAGGAGTGTAGACTTTCAAAAAGAAAAAAAAACCCCAAAACTATCACAGTATCAACCCAGAATAGGTTGTCAAAGCTTCAAGATACTCTAATACTACTAAATGTACTAAAGACTGGTCTCAACTGGTCTTAGTTGTGTTCAATTATGTAATTTGACCACACTTGACAGACAGTTAACACAGCAGAAGGACAAGTTTCACAGCATGTTGCTTCTTCACGTTTTACATACCTTGTCATTTCTGCGATATCCTTTGCGAAAATTTAGTATCAACCTCTTGAGAATCAATTCACCAATATTTGGAAACTTTGAATTGATAATTGCCACAAGAGCTGCGTAAACATGAGTAAATATCGGAGAGGCACTCTGAGCTTGCAAAATGGATCTAGACAGCAATCCCCTGTAAAAATAGGTAAGTTTTAAGATTTTTCTGGTAATAAGACATGTAGCTTTTTTATTCAAATGGTGTTCAGCCAAAGTAAAGAATAACAAGTACTTATCACATAAAATAGTACTGTGCAGTTGGAATAGTTGGAAGATACCAAATGGTCATTTTCAAAATGTTGTTTATCATGCCATAAATGGAGTTTGGCAAAACACATTGTCCAAATGTGCCCGAACTCAAAAATTCTTAAAATGGTACCTTATCTTCCCTTAAATATTGTTAATTTAGAAATACATTTGAAAACGCTAAGCATGCAAACAGCCAGCTTGTATCCTGCAACTTAGGCTGATTATAAAAGACTACTATTTAGAGCCTAAATAAATGTAAACACAGGGCTCATGAGAATAGTTCTTTTATTATTCTAATGATCTCTCTTACATTTATTATCAAGACTGAAGTCTGAAAAGAATCTGCGACTTATTTTTCCCCCCCTCTCAATTTTGCTTCTTGTAATGCTTAGGAGCACACACAATTTGACTTTTGCTGTATTACTCCATTACAAATAGGTGAGGGGGAGGTAAAGAGCCCTCCAAATGTGAATGTTCAAAGTACACACTGGAATCCAGCTATCTTATCTTCTCTGTGGTCTACTGAAATCCTCATAAAAACCTCCTACATGGTACTAAATACAAACAGCCTAGGGACCTCATTCCTACTTACTTTGGAATTGACAAAGGGAATAGGACTCATACTAGTGCACAGAAGCAGAATATTTCCACTTTGAAATGAGTAGTTACGTCTTTCTTACAAACTGAAACTGGTCTGTTTCAGTTCTTATTTATCCTCAACTTAAAAACTCAGAAAACTACTTGACAGCTAGGCAAAACTTCATGTCATTACTTTTATATGCACCTTTGTGCAAATCTGGAAGTCAGACTTCAGTGTAAGAAGGAGGGAAGTGGTGCCGTTTCCCATCTACGTTACTTTGATATTTATAAACCACACACAAAAACTTCCACAGGTAAGTATATTCTACAAACATTCAATAAGCTTATTTCTAAATGAAAATACTATTGCTTGTATGAAAATTATGTTTTGGGGACATGAAATGTGGGCAAGTAAAAAACAGTCCTACAAATCCCGGAGATTCATTATTATTTTTCAAAGGAATGACATTCAAGAACTACTTGCTCACACTCTAGATTTTACTTAATTCTTGTGTTGGTAGTTTGGTTTTGTTTGTTTAAATGGTAGCCAACCTAAGAAACCCATGCTCCTTTAGACTTGCAGATTTAACCCCCAATGACATCAAAATTAATGCAAGGAAAGTCATCACACAATAGTTGCATGATCACCATGACCTTGTACCGAGCTCAGGTAGCATAATCATCTTTTCTCTACATTACAACAATAAACAACATAGGCAGGTAACTGTAGTAAAACTTGTATTGCTAAATACTGACTACAAATATTATTTGTCCCAGAGAAAAAAAAATCCAGCACTAAAAAAATAAACAGCCAGTGACAACTGTAAATTGTAAGCCAAGTAAAATACACAGGGAAAACCTTTAAGAAAAGGTTGCTGCACTGTTTTATTCCACCAAGCATTCAATCCCTTTCCCAAGTAAGGGACTATTCTGCATAGGACAATATAGCCTAAGGGTAATTTTAAAATCTGACCAGACCCCATACACTACACATAGCACACACCGTGAGGTACATGTGAACAGTACACATAGTACCAGAAAAGCAAAAGAAATATTTTAAAATACAAAGACTTACCTTCCCCTAACAATATTTTCCTGAAGCAGCTCATGAATGATGTTTTCTATATTAGAAACGTTCACTTTATTGACAAGACCGTTGATTGACTTCTTCAAGGCTTCCCAACTCATCCTCTGATATGCCAAGCTATTACAAAGGCATCACAAATTATTAAAGTATAAATTTTAAGTAGCACTGACAAAATTTTTATATACATATATAAAACTTACATTTTCATTTAATCAGTAAAACAGGTAAGAAACATTCACTGCATAAATGTGAGGATTAGTTCACACCTCTACATTTAACCACTAGAAAATCACTGATATACCAAAATGTAATACCAACTCAGTACGTTCAGCTTTCTACGCTGTTCCAAAAAATCCCTAGCTACATTCTGTATCCCACTTTTCCATTTATATTTTGCAGCAGAAGCAAGTACAGTTTTAATGTGATTCTCTCATCTCTCTTCTGACAAAAATATATCTTCAAAACAATGATCACAGCCCTCTAAACGGATCTCATTTTCCCAACATTCTCTAAAACCCTTAAATGTTTTGCTTTCAGCAAAAAAACTAATATGTCACTTCCAACTCACCTATTTTTATCAGTGATTTGCTCTTGCATCATCCGGAGCTTGGCAGGTGGAATATATGCACCACCTGTGCGAGTAAGGATTGGATCCACTTCTTCTTTTTTCTTCTTTGAAGTGGCCTCATCATGAGCAAGCGAGCTCTGAACTGTTGACCTCTCTGGACTCCTGCGATCGGGTGATGAATATCTCCTCTGCTTCCTCCGATCATATTCTCTCTCCTCCCATCTGTCATAGTGTCTATCTCTCCCCCTTTCCATTCTTCTAAAAAGAAAAAATAAAAAACACCAAACACCCAAGGGTTCGTGAAAAGTTTTCACATTTTATTCTTTAAAATAAGTATTTTATTACCGATTAAGAAAGGGTTTGATACCTTCCATCTGAATTTCTGTCATCATAGTATTCCCTTCTTGAATACTCCTGATCATATCTGCTGTCATCGGAGTGTCTTCTCTTTCTGGGAGATGGAGACCCATCATGCTCCATATCCCTGCTCGCAACCCAAGACACAAAAATTCTTAGTAAAAGGCTGAGAAAAGCAATGGTATTAATATAATATCTACTTACAATACAATGTTACAATGCACAACTGTTCCAATTCTGTAACCTGAGTTTCAAGATACGCACCATTCAAATAAAACAGTCCACTTTTACAATACTTTCTTGTCAGGAAAAAATTATCATAAATCAAAGCTCTGTAAAAGGAAGCTCCTCCCAGAATTTAAAATTAAATATTAAACATTAATAACGTTAAATACCAAAGGTAAATTCAGCACCATGCACACTTTTGCCTGTGCAGCACAAAAGTCTTGCTCTAAATTGTGGTATCAGCAACATGTGAGTTCAAGCAAAAAGCCAGCATCTAATTTCCATTTTCAAGTCCCATGACAATTCAACTAAATGCTAAGGATTTTTAAAGATTTAGTTCTAGTAATAAATCTATTTAATTACTGTTATATTGACATGTAAATATTTTATTAAACCTACACTTACTTTTCACCGCTCAGTTACGGTAATACAAAAAAAGAAACACAACCTGATGATTTTTTTAACTTCTCTAAATCACTGTTTGAGGTATATATATATATATTTATATATATAGAACTGAAAGGTATAAAACTCACTGTACCTGTCCTCTGGAGACAAACTTCCTTGTCGGGAACTGTAGTTTTCCTTCCTTTCATGGCTGGAACCATGCTTTAAGAAAACAAAGGAAAAAAAAAATCAAGCCCCAGCATGACTGTGAGCACATACTTTCAGAACAAAGCATACCACATCTTCAGTTCCCTACTCCTTCACAAGAAGATAAAGCTAAAGGCAGTCAGTTATGACGAGAGGAGCTGGTTCTCTTAGTAACACGTAATTAAGTACTGGACTCTCTGCTACAGGACGCTGCAGATGCCAAATGTTTATATGGGTTCAAGACACTGGATAAACACTGGAAAAATCCACATAGGTTACCAAAAAAACTTATCTGGCTCAGGAAGCTGCAAACAGGTAGAGTGGGAGTGTATGTGGGCAAGTACTTTTATAGTTGCCCTGTTTCTAAATTTTTCAAGGCATCTGCTGCTGGGGGCTAGAGTATACGGACCACTTCCCTGCTTCCTCCTTCCAAATGCCATTTTACTCTGTTGCATCATGTGCAAAACCATAAACAAAATTCTACCACTTCTTGTTTGAAAAGTGTCTTTCCTCTCTCCTAAAAACCCCCTTTATTGAGTAATTTCTCCCTATCTTCTTGCTTTTTATTAACCATGATTTATTTTCTCATGAGTCATTCTTAGCTTCATACATAAACACCTAAGTGACACTGTTCTATCTGGCAGATTTGTGAGATTGTTTAAGTCATACGCACTTAAACAGTTCACACCAAGTTCCATGGGCTGAATATGACATGGAAATATGGAGTCATACTCAAAAACCAGAGCACGACAGCATCTACAACATACACAAGACATTTCTCAAGATGTTTTAAAACTACTCTGGCAGAGTTAAGAAGCAGCTTTTGTAATCTCAGTACTTTTATTCCAAAGGTCCTCTCTTCACTCAGAACATTATTTATCATTTTTCAAAACCATGTTGTCAGACAGTGATTAACTGTGAAATAGGCAACACCTCACCTGATGCAGAAAGTCAAAAAAAAGGCTTGCTTGTGCACCTTGACTGAACTTCCTGCAGGAATTCTCACCTCATTTGTTGAAGTGGCACCCTCTCCACCAACATGCTGGCACACTAGTTTTTGACCCACCAGAGAACCAGTTAAAACTACTGGTTACTAGAATACAATGACACCTCCTCCATAAACCAGGTGGTGGAGGTCACCACAGACCAGGGTGGACTGTTATACCACTGACCTCCAAAACTTAACTGGGGAGTGTGTGTATATATGCAAATAAATAATTGCATTTTTGAGGTTGCCATAACTTATAGAATATTGCCTTTCTGAGGGTACATTTCTAACACTGTATTAAAATTATACCCAGTATTATCTTGCCTGCATCAAGACAGTGATACAAACCCAATGCATTGCATTATTGGGAGCAGGCATCCCTATAAAAGTAAGTCCATCTAACAACTTAATTTTAGGGCAATGTTACCTTTGATGGCAAAGCTAGTACAAGAAATTCACATACTTTCTACAAGGTTTTCTTCCCCTTTCAATAGTCATTTCTGGGATTATACCATAGAGCAGATGACTGAATTCAAGGTTAAGAAAAGCCCTTAAATTGCTTTTTTTCCCTGCCCAATAATATAATGCAAGTCTATATCTTAAGCTTCCAAGGAAGCGGTAATAAATATCTTCGAGAAACATGGAACATTTACTGTATTTAAATCCTATTTAGCAGATGGGAAGGAAGCAGTGGGTCTTTTTAGGATGATCCATTTTCATGGGTTCTACATCACCCGTCTTTGCCCAAGTAGAATCAAAACCACAAGTGTTCACAGAAGTAAAACAATGTAATGTCTGTCTCTGTGTTTGGCCTTATCACATCTCCTTGCAAAAGCACCTCTTTGCAGAAGAACTTTTTCCCCTCAGCTCTTCATGACCAGCCTTTCTGCCACAAGTTAGCCTTCTTCCTCGTCCATTTTGATCACAATGATTAACTGAAAGTGTCCAAACAGTCCAAAACTCTTGCTAACTGGCTTATGTTAACAGATGAGGAAGCACTACCACAACCACCAAACTGGGAAAATAGTAGAAGCGTCCCTATTAAAAGTCACTTCAGTCAGAAAAGTTGGATCCAAAAGGAAGCCTATGCAGGGTCAAACTTTAGAACACAGGTAGAGAAATACCACAGATTTGAGGCAGGGTATCAGAACAGCATTGCTCTGCTAACCTGTCCCAAATGTAGTGTACTGTAAAAACACAGTATTTCTAAATTATAATTTTAAAAAATTAACTTTAAATTTTTTCTTCCTACATTCCTAAAAAAATCACTCCCATCCATTCAGAGATGGACCACACAGCTTTTAAAATGAAAAGCTTCAACATTCACAGTATGACATAAAGTTGCCAAATTAACTGCTACTTACTGTCACTTTATCTTTTCATTTTAAGATCACTGTTAATCTTTCTCCATTCCTCCACATGCCTATGTTCTCTGTTGAGCCACCATCATTCAGTCAGTTTTGATGAACTACTTTATCATTATATCCCAATAATATTCAGGACTTTCAGTGTTAGGACAACAGGTGTTAGAAATAGCTGTAATTTACTGACTCTTACAGTAGTTGTTACTACTTACTAGTAGTATTTATCTCAGAAACAGCTACTGTCAATTACTGCTATTGCTTGCTTCGCATTCGGGAAGCTTGATGTAACATAACATCAACTAATTACCAGTAACATGGGAATAATAAAACCCTACAGTTCAGGTTGAAGAACACTTACATTTACTTGTGTCACCCTGCTCTTCATCTCGACCTCTTGCTTTTTTATGAAGTTCTGAACGTGCAGCAGCCAGACAACCCAAGCTGGAATTCAGCATGTGAAAAACATTTCACCTGTAACACATATGAGATAATCAAACATCTTTCGACTGCACACGGTGCCGGAACCTGCACTTTTTATTTTGCTCTTTAAAGCTATGGTTACATAGATCCTTAAACAAAAACAAGCAGCCCCCCGACCCTGGCCTATTCCGCTTTCTGGCGGTCACACAGCCCCTGTGGCAGGAGAGCGGCTGTGGAGCAGCACCGTGAGCTCACGGGCACAGCCGGGTCCGCGACCCTCTTGCCAGGCCACGGTGAGGCTGCCGAGGCCCTGCCACCGACCCCACGGCCCGGCTTCCGGCCCGGGTCCCCCCGCCCATCGCGCTCTTCGCGGGGCCACGGAACCGCCCGGCCCGCGGCCTCCGCCCGCCGCGGAGCGCCCGCACGGCAGGGGAGGCCGCGACCACCCAACCCGCGGATACACCTGGCCGGGCGGCGCTCGGTGGCTCTCCCTAGTCCCACGGGGAAGGCGGTGAGGGCCGACCCGCGCACACCCGCTGATTCCGCACACCGGCAGCCCCCGCACCGCCCGCGGCCCCTCTCCCGCACCTCCGGGCCCGCACGGCCACGAACCGCGTCACTTCCGGCGGCGCGCAGTGAGCGCACGGACCCGGCCCCGCCCAGCACCGCCCCCGCGTGCACGCGGCCGGTCTCCGCCCCCCCCCCGCCTTCGCCGCCATCTTGCGGGCGCGGGAGCGCGCGGGCAGCCCTCGGTCTGGTGTTTGAAATGAACGTGATAGTGGGAGTTGTTAATAAATAAATAAATAAATAAGGCAGGAGCTAAGCCGGCAGAATGGCTCCTTAGAGAAGTGGTCACGGCCCCCCAAGCCTGACAAGAGTTCAAGGAGCGTTTGGACAGTGCTCTCAGGCACATGGTGTGACTCTTGGGGATGGTCCCATGCAGGGCTAAGAGCTGGACTCGGTGATCCATGTGGGTCCCTTCCAACGCGGCATGGTCTGTGATTCCGAGTGACTCACCGCAGTGAGTGGCTCTATAGCATGGGCTGTGTGCCCTTTGGTTTGCCCTGCATTTCCCTGGTGCCAACCGCTGCTCGGGTGAAGGGTCTGGGGAAAAACACCCCGTTGTTACCAAATGTACACGGTTCCTGTCCGACATACACATAACAGCAAACAAGCAGTCAGCTCCCGTCCCTTAAGGATGGAAACCTGCCCAAAGCATCTCTGTAAAATGTAGCGCATTCACTGAGTGAATTGGGTACTGTAGCACACACTTCTGTCACTTACACATGTACTGTGGGTTAAACTGCTTGAAATACGTTCCAGGAGACACATAGTGCGCTATATACCATGTTGAATGTTACAATGCTCTTAGGGCACCTGTGTATTAGAGGGGGGGTTGGCCTCTGAAAGTTCAAAGTAATTCAGCACCACAAATCCACAAGAACAGAGGGCCTGTGGCTTATTATAAACACAAACTTGTTTGGATTGTGGAAAGTAATTAAATGCATTGGGAGGGGGGGGAAAAAAAGGAAAATGCTATGTAAGGTCTAAAAGTGCTTTTGGTTCATTTTCGGTTCTTGTGAGATAAATGGAAATGAAAATGAAAATAAACTTTTATAGGACACAGCAGATCAGGGTCAGGAAGGCATTAACTCAGCGGAGAGCCAGATGGTTCCTTCAGGGATATCTGTAATAGTGCAGTGCGGCAGTGCTGCTGTGCTGCACCCACCTGTGTCTGTGTGCAATTCCTGTGCCTCCATATGTAGTGGGACACAGAAGTGCCTCCATATGTTGAGAGGTAGAAGATGGCAAGGAGGTAGGAGCAATTCTAGGAAAATGCTACTCGCAATTTTCCTTTTCAAACATAATTTAGTGAAACTTTTCTCAAGGTTGGAAAATGCTACCAATTTTTTCTTTCTTTCTGTAGGTTTTTAAATCAACTTATTTGTTCTCTACTCAACACTATGGTACTTCTGTTTTGTCATATCATGTAACACACCTGTAGCGCTGCTTTCATTGCAACAATTTTTACATGCTCAAATCACAATGTAGGAGGGGACATTGATGATTGGACAGATCTGGTTTATCTGCTGCAGCCATAGAAGACTTCTGTCCTCGACTACAAACTCACAAAAGAGTGAGAGAAAGGGAGCAGCTGCCCATGACTGAGATCACTGCACATGCTATGCAGCACTTTAACTCAGAACCACTTCAGTTTAAACTAATCTACCAGTCTTTTCAGCTTGAAGCATTAACAAAATGAGTACAAACCTTTTCTCAGACTTTTCCAAAGGCCAGCAACACTGTCTTGACATTGTGTATCATAACAGATATAAATATTCTGCACTTGAGAGATAATATTTTTACTTACAAAGTCATAAAAGTCAACTCTCTTATTTACTTTGCAATACTAAGAAATATAATCAATAAAGCAAGAAATCCCTACTCAAAATCAACACATGGATAGGATATGTTAAGTAATAATAATCAGAAAAAGTACGTACTTGTTTTTCTGCTTATAACTAATTTTTAGCTACAGAATTTGATTTCTTTGGCTTTCAAAATTATTTGCAATTGTGGCACTTACACAGGAGACTGAAACCAGCATGTATCAGGACAGTTGTACAGATTCTGACAATATGAATTGTTAAATGCTTTCACTAGATATTCCCTGAACCTACTGACTGTCTGTGAATGCCCTATGATTTCCTATTCTGCTGTGGAAGTAATCTTTTTCCTGACTCATACTGTGTAAACAGGTGTCATGAAATAAAAAGGCATATGGCACCAATGTGGCAGCGGCATTTTCTGAGAAAGACATCCTGTGGCTGATGGCGCACGTACCATCACTCAGGCTGTCCCTCCAAATGCCCTGGGAGAGAGAGAACATGGACAGCTGAGCTTTCCCCTCAGAGGGAGTCTGAGGGCAGGGATGGGAAATAAAAAGGTCTGTTTCAAGGTGCCTTCACCAGAAGATAACTGAGAACCTCTGAGAAACATGATTATGTTTTGAAAGCTGCTGAATAACATGGGGTGACATAAATTACACTCTTCAGATCTCTTCTTAAATGTGGAAAACAGAGGAGCAGCTGGAAAAGTGGGATTTATTGAACAAGAAAGGAAAAGGGCAGTCTAATACTGAATAGGAGCAGTGAAGTGAGGTTTCCCTTTTCTTCTTTCCGAAGTTAATGCTTTTACTATTGGATTATGGAGCGAAGCTCCCTTCTGTTCCTTTCTTCTCTGTTCTGCTCATCTTCCAGTTCTTTTCTGCAGTGGGTCACACTTAGATTTTATTCCTCATCAGGGTGAAGGGAGAATACCTTCAGTTTTATTGTGAGTCTAATCTTGTGGTTTGGTGAAATGCTTTAAGAAATGCAAGTTTTAATTCTGTATGGGTGAAAAGACAATGCCTTCAGTTCCCAAATAAACGCGTTAAGGGAGTAGGTTGCAGTGCAGGTTGAGTACTCCAGATGAGCCTTTTTGAATCTACTGCACTCAAGATCTCAAATGTACAGAGTCTGAAGTAGAGCTGTGAGTATGGTTTCAGACTTCTAGAGAGTAGGAAGAATTCAGGTGCATCCTTTTGCTTGATGTGTCTTCCACAGCTTCTTGCTCAGCATGTGGGCCTCCTTAATTGCCTGGAAAGCACTCGGATCTCTGTCTGTGGTGGATGAAGCATCTAACTGTAGCAATCCTAATAACCCCACAGGAGCCATGCAGCTACTCTGTTAGTGTAAGAGATGGTTCGGATCTCTTATCTCTACCTCAGTCTGAAGTAAATTCTTACAATCGGAATGGAGTGTGATTATGGAGTCCGGAAAAACAATCCAAAGACAAAGCCACATAAGAATTAACTCATGTCAAGTGGCTTTATATGTATTTAAGACAGCAATAGTCAACAGAGAATGCTTCTCCTCTTCTTAAGTAAGCATGGTGATAGATCAGACCTTAAAATACAATTACACCCAGTTCATACAAAATTAAATCAACATGAGAAGTTTGCTTTCAGATAAGGCAAATTTTAAATATAAATTTCTGCACACTGAAAATCCTGAAAGCAGTGACAATTCAACTGAGACTAATAGTAATTAAACCAGACATAATTATAATATTTGAAACCTGCACAAAGGGAGAAAGGATAATGTGTCCAACAAATTCATATTCATCAGCTTAATGTTGTGCATGAATACTCCATTAGTAAGCCACAGGAAACATAGTTTTAGTCATATTGTTTTCCCATGGCAGTTTTTGTCATTGTGCTTGAAATTATACAACTTAAAAATCATCCACATGCTGCACTCCCTGGACTGGCACCTCTCCTGGCATAAGCATCTGTAGCTTCATCAACTCCCAGTCTTCCAAAAGTGAGCAAAAAAGGTTCGTATGTAGAAGCTCACTGAAAGTACCTAATACTGCTGGAAAAAGCAATCATTACCTTATTCTTGTAGCTGAGTCTTTGTAGTTAATATTGCTTTATTAATTAATTGTAGAATGATGGATTGGAGACTGGTTTCCCTGCCTGCTTTATTAGGAGAAAGGACGCTGCCAACTCCCATCCAAGTTAATCAGTGTGACATTTAGCATACTGTAGACTTAAAATTTTGTGCAAGGCTCAAACTGTGTTTCCAGATAGCTGTTGCCACGTGCCAGCTGTGGGATATTACTCCACACCTCAGCTGAGACAAGAAATTGCATTCTCTGTGGTTTTAGTTTAAGGTCAGATGAGTGAGCTGAGCTTAGCCAACAAAGGTAAACTTGTTTGGTAGCAGAGTGGGATGTTGCCATGCAATCCCTTCTGCTACCCTTTGTTGTGGCAAGAGTAATCTCTGATACAGCATGTTAAGAAGCAACATGAGGGAAAGAGAAAGAATGCTCTTACATCACATATAAACACCACTGTTTCGGAGGGATCTAATATCTGTGCTGTGAAGTCCCCTCACCGTTACATTTTAATAAATGCTAGAAGATCATGGTCTTACAGTACTGAGAAATCTCTCTTATTGGTTCCTCAAATGGGTGACATTCATGACACTCCATCACAAATTTTGTTTTTCTCAAGGAAGCACCAGCAGACTCTTAGTCTGTTTGGAAACCTCGTCAAAGCAAAGCTGTGACCCTGAGCTCAGTGGGAAGGGATGATCATATGTGGAACTTCCACACAATTTCCACTGTGTGAGAACACATAACATATGTTTTCTATTATTTTTAATGACAGTCTCTCAGCTGCTTCTCATAATAGTAAAAAAATCTGCTCAGCTACTGTTTAAAGCAGGTTCCTAGTCTGTGTGCTAACATCTCTCTTCTTTCAATTTAGTGGCAATGCTGTTCTCTGACCAGCTTCTGGGACTGGAAACAATTCCCATCCCTTCAGGCACCTTCTACCCTTAAAGTAATATACAGACTAAGCATATTATTCAGAAAAAGAAGGCACAGTGAATCCAGATTGGCATAAAGGAGTAATATTTTTTTACTATGAGGTTCTGCTCATTGATATTCTTAATGTTGTTTTGGTTGTTTGTTTGAAGCCTGAAGCTGTTCCTGCTTAGTGATGTGGACTGAAGCCAGAGGTAGCACTGCAGGTGCAGGTCACTCTGGTCTGTGTGAACTGGTGTTTTCATGTCCTTAGTGTCACTTTGTCCGTACACAGTGCAGAAGAATGTCAATTCAGAGCTGAGTTCATCAAATCAAGGTGTCACTTTACAGCCAGCCCCCTGAAGTCAGAATACATGTCTAAAATTTCAAGGCTTTACCATGAATTGAGTTGTGTAATCATTTGGCATCTTTAGCTTGTTTAGCAATTAAAATCCCTTTTTAGCAACCAAAACCCTTTCAATTACGTTTTTGTTCCTTTGCACTGATTTTTTTTAGCCTCTATGAAGTATTTTTATATCTCCTGACCTTTAAAGAAAAAAATATCTCTACTCTTTTCCAGAGCTGGGACAGTAGAGCCCTGTTGTGGGGTCATGACGTTCAGTGCTATAAGGTGTGTTTGTGCCCAGAAACCAAAGTCCAGGGCAATGAATGCACATTTCTTTTGGCCTACCTGCACTAACTCAGTGATTGCATCGCATAATGCATGGGTTAGTGGTTTGGGGGTTGTGTCCACATCCTTTGCTAAGCATGCAAAGCTTATGTGATGTAACCCTTGTCTTACTGAAATCTTGGTATATAATTTTACAAATATTTTACTCTTTAAATAGATAAAGGAACATGACTGTAAAGATATCAGAAACAGGAATATTCTGTCCATACTGCATTTTTATGAATACGTCATTGAGCAGAAGCAGCCACTGTAGCCTTTAACTAAAGTACAAGTTAGAGTGACTGCTTCTCAGCTACTGAATGGACATTTGGATGTTGTGTTCATCTTTCATCTCTTCAGCAATGCACAGAGAGAGGTGCTGTCTGACCAGAGCTATTGACTGCTTCCAATGAATCTCATGTGAGATTAAAGCATAAATACACAATGGGTAGATGGTATATCATAATGTGCTGGAGAAAACCTGACTGTGTATAGGTTGCCTTATTTTAGTTAAAAAATCTGTGTATTGTTAACTTCTGAGTTTCTTCAGTTTCTTGATAATTCCTATGGTCCTGATGTCGTGACAGGACATCTAGATCTTGGGAGGACGTTGAGCACCTCTTGGAGCTCCTGTATCTTGTAGCATATACAGCTGTGTGAGTTAACCCCAACAGATTTAAAAATTCAGAAGGTTGGTTGAAAACATTTTTTTCAGAGTTTAAACACAGTAACAACACTGGGAAGACCTCCTGAAGTATTTCTCTAAGAGCTTTAATATATAAAACAGTAACATACTTGTAACAATAAAGGCAGAAGAATATTGTAACAATAAAAGTAAGAACTGAGTTCTAAACTTGGGCGTATTTGTATTAAAATATATAATTCCTCTATAACATCCAACTAGTGTTACTGTAACTATTAGATTTTGTACAAAATGTGATGCCAATATTCTTCTCTTGGAAGTGACACATTTTAGTTCTGTTAAAGAGCATCTCTTCACTATGCGAGATCAACATCTGTCTTCAGGGTGAAAATGATCCAAGGATCCTACCTGACTTGTGAATGTAGCTGGTCTAAATCCTCACAGAGCCTGGATGCTCTCTCCTGTCCCTCATTTTAATATTTTCAATCCTTTTTCATATAATAGAAGTTGTTTCTTAGCTCTACCCAGAAGACTCCTTTTTTTTCTTAGATTGAAGAATCTTTGTGGTGTGTAATGGAGGAAGTTAGCCCTTCAATCTGGAAAAGAAAGTATTGCAGTCAATAATAGACAAGTACTAAATAGATAAAAGCAATTACTTTGGAGTGACAGTGACAGCATGGATGTAATTAATTATGATTTTAAACAAAATACAGAGTTTCTATCATGTTTAAAGATGAATATATTTAAAAAAATCATAAAAATTGGTAAAATTACTGGTTCAAAATAGTGAAAACAGATGCCAAAATGTTGGCACTGCTTTGATAGTTTACCAGTTGTCGTGTGGTTTTGCATACTGTATAATCAATGGTAAGAGCTCTTGACCTCTTTCACTTTACCCAGAGACAGATGTAAGACCTGTTGACATTTTTCCCCCATAAATTACTATGGTGTATTGTCTAAAATTTTACTGAGAGCAGTGTTATCCAGAAGAAGTCATCATAACAAGCCCCTTCAGCAGCGTGTTCATCATGTCACAAAGTGTGACATTAGTTAATTTTCTCTTCTTAGCTCTACAGCAGAGCTTCAAATTAATAGCTATTGCAAACTATAGGCAAACAGTAGGTGCCTGACTTAATTAACTCTGACTCTGTGTGATGTGATTTGTATCTTGGTGTTGCTTGTGCTAAAAATGGGCACTGTTTTTCCTATGGCATATGGCTGTATTTCTCCCAAGGGCTGTGATATTGCAACTTTAGGAGCAAGATTATTGTTATTTGATGATTTAGTTATCATTATGGTCTGCAGATCAGAAGATGTGCAAACACCAGGGTACAGCTAGTGGAGTAATGCCAAACTAATTGCACTATTGTGTTGATGAAGACCTCCTGTAAGTAATAGATAAATAAAAAACTATTACTAAGAATAGTAGAACAGACTTGCTGTATGGTCTAAATAGAAACAGACTGTATGATGACATGGGTGATCTGAAGAGCAGAATTCCACTGCACTCAAGGAAGAGATTTCTTATTTTTCCCTGCAAGGTTAAATTTTAGTCCCAAGCACTGTCTCATCCCTGCACCATCATGGCCCTGAACGGTTCTGCTCAACTACCCAGGGTAGGAAATTCAGCTGCTCAGCTACTGGAATGGTTATATATCTTTGTTGTCCTATTACTGGTAAAGGATTTATTTCACAAAGCTTCTGGGGACACCATGAATGAAGTTGAACGCTGTCAAAAATGGTCTTCTTCCCAGGAGGGCTTCTGGACAGATAGATTTGATCCTCGCTGAGGGGAGGATCACATAAAATAATTACACTGTTCTCTGTGAAGGCACAAAGTAATCATGAAGAGTGCATAAGAAAACCTGTCTGGATACAGGTGGCACCCTCTATCTGCATCCTGCTGCACGGGAGGTAGAAAATTAGATTTTTTTTACAAATTTGAAAAAGATTGAGGTTTTTTTTCAAAGTATGTAATTGTGACTGTCCCGTCCTTTTTGATTATGGTGAAAAGACTTCTATATTGTAAAGCATTAAATGCAGCATGAAAGTACATTCAAAAATAGTAATTTTCTTTAATGTTTCACTACAGATTGTATGGTAAAGTCCACATCAGAAAATGTCATATATAGTAACTATCAAGCAATTAACCAGTGGTTAAATCAATGCTTACAGTCTCACACCATGTTTTAATACCCGATGAATATTAATATTTTTTGTTTTTTTCAATGGGCTTTCTCCTCAGATGTTATATTTGAAGGGAGGCAGTACACTTGTCTTACGGTTGCTAACTGTACCTTCTGAGTTGAGTCATCATGGTCTTTGCAAAGAACCAAATGTTCCTATTTCCTATGAGAAGTGTTTCCAAATAAGTCTTTGGCAATATTTCTGAACAAAGCAGGATCACTGTAGAAATAAACTGGCTTTGCCTCTCAAATCTCCATGGGGCTTATGAGGCAAAATGGCTTTAGCAGGGAAAGTAGGTTAAAGCAAGGACAGGCAGCCTCCTCAATTAACAGAGATGAAAATAAGCACCAATACTCGCCTGATTCAGAACCTTTAAGATGCAGTAGTCCTAGACCACAGGTCAAAAGAATATAAAGTAACTAAGATTTACAAAAGCATGTTCCTTAACTGTTATTTGGATGACTTACCTTTAAACTGGGTTTACTTTATAGAAGTAAATTAAAAAATCTCATCTAATATAATCTTAATATTTGAGGGTAGTCTGTTTTTTTTCTTTACATATGAATTTTTATACAAATGCTTCCTGAAAACCTGATTTTTTTTCTGATGTGTATTCCTGCCAGTGTACTTCAGTAAGGATTAGAGGGATTTTGTTGTGTTTTTTTTCCAAGCATTGAATCATAGGTAATTTGCTTGTATAAGAATTATTTGGAAAAATAGTGCCTTGTTAATCAATTATTTTTAGAATTTCATCTTTCAGACAAAGATTCTCTAGGAAGTAAGATGTTTTTCCTGTTTTTTCCCCTACCTAATCCAATAGCTTTTGTTATTTTCTACCGTACAAGTTGTTAGCTACAATATGGATTTTTTCCCCACATCCTACCTATAGCTATAATGAATTATTACTTCTGGAAATCCTTCTGTAAGTTCCCTAATGTACTGTTACATTGCTTCTCAGGTCCAGTGGTGAATTACCTTGAATATATTTATTAATTTTTGACACTGAGAAGTTTTCATAGCTCCAAAATTTGCTAATAGTAGTTCCATCACTAAAGTGCCATTCTCTATAGTATCACTGTGGATCATTGTGGGAAATTAAATTCTGAGAACAGAAGCATCTTGTTCTTGTCAGCTTTTCTCCCTTTGTAATGAAACAGTGCCCCCAAGAGCTCTTTCTCAGGAAGGGGCAGTTTAAGAAAATTAAGTCAGCTATTCTTGACAATATTAATCTCTGGACATAAAAATCCTGCCAAGCATTGCAACCAGAGGTGTTACTTTGAGGGACAGTTGTAAGACTGGTTTTGGTTTGTGTTTTGGTTTTCTTATTTTATGCCAAATGATAGAAAGTTAACTAAATGACTGAATTCTTCCAATGGTTCCAGTTTGGAGACCTCTGCCTGCAGAGGACATCCTTCTGGCCCTCTGAAGAGAGGGAGGATGCACCGTGCAGAGCAAGCGTTGCTCCTCAGTGAGAAGGGCAGGGCTGGTTTTGTCCTTTGCTGGTTGACACCAGGACAGCTGGCAGTGGTCCAGGAACCAACTATTTGTTTGTTTGTTTGCGTGTGTAGATAAACAGAGAAGAAAGATGGCATGAAGTGAAGAAGAACAAAGAGAGAGTAAACAAGGAACAGCTTTAGTTACATCAGTCGTAAAAACGCAAATACCAAACCTATTAGGCATTTTCCTAAAATACGTGAAATACACACAAAAATAATCATGAACAGCCTCTAAATCTTAGAAAGGCAGATTTTTATGATAACCTGAAGTAATAAAATTTTTTAGCAAATAAAATTTTTTAAGTGTTAAGAGTCATCACTACGTTTTCCACGTTAAACACAGCAGTTGATTGACAGCATCATGACTACTGGAAATCTGAGGACTCATCATCACAGCACCTAGTGAATTCATCATCCTCAAAGGAGGAATTTATTAAAGTAAAATTTGGAAAGTAAAAAATGACAGTTTCTCTGTCAATTAGCCTTTACATTCAGAGAGAACATGAAGGGGAGGGTAAGAGAGAAGAGGGCTTGAAAATAGGAAAGGATACCACTTGGGAGGAAAAGAAAATCCCTTCATTAATCTTTGCATTCAGTGTAGAATTGAATTTAATATATTATTAACACCACAGAGCAGAAGAAGAGTCATAAAAGAAAGCAAAGAGAGGTTGAGTTTTGCAAAGAATCAGTCACTGGCTTCAGTCTGCAAACTGGTTTTGTAAGTGTATTTAATTATAATCCAAAGATGCCTGCAGATTATCCACTATCCTGTCCACAGATAGGACAATTTGAACTGCAGATCTTCCTGGAAAATATGATACTCAGTCTAATTTGACTGCTTGATAATATACTGATATAGCTATATCTACAGAAAAGTATCAGTTTTTATGGTTAAGTAAAAGGGTGTATATCAGAGTGGTGCTACCAGTTGGTGCATAGGCACTGAACATTCAGCTCTGATTAGCTTATTGCTGGTAGTGTCACAGAAAGAAGAAGGGACTGAGGATGGTGACTGACGGGCTGAAGTTGAGTTTGTGGCAGGAACAGCCAGGAGAACTGGGCATGGCCCTTCATTTACTCCATAGTGCTGGGTCTTCTCCTGGGGTAACAGACCTACCTGGAAAGGAAAGCAGTAAAAAAATTGCTATCAATGAGCTCCATGCTGATGAAAACTTTTTCAGAAGAGTTTAAAATGAAAGTTAAGAGCTCTGCCTTACACAGCAGTTACCACACACAGCAATGACAAATTCATGAAACAGAAAGGAAGACCTCCCTGTCCTGACAGACAACCTCCCCAGCAGTCCCAGATACCGGTCTGTGCCAGATGAGCTTTGCAGTGTGCTGTGATGTTTAGCAACACAGGCTATTTCACACCAACCCGGAGGAGCTGGGAGTGTGTACACACAAGGCTATCAAAGTCACACATTCACACACTTCAGCTGGTTTTCAACCGCCCAGCTGAGGCACCTTCTGGCTTCAGCAGGGCCCTCTGCCACCTGCTGAGCTGGTAACCCCCCAGCTTTGCTTACTCTCTTACTCTCTTGTGGTTCAAGAGAACTGCCTCCTCCACAAACAAAATTTGTTCCTTTCCAACACTTCTTACACCATCCTGGTGCCCTAAGATTGTCTGACCCTGAAAAACATCTACTGGAAACAGAACTTTAGATAGGTTGTTGTTTTTCTCTCCATCCCATTGCATGGCTTGGCAAAAGTTGACATTCATAAATGAAATTAAAAAACATAAATAAGCAAATAATTGCTTTAAATAATTTTCAATAACTGGTCCCAGGAACAGCTCAGGACTTCATCTACCACAGAAGCAGGAAGTTTAAATAGTAGGCATGGTCTCCCCAAATAGCCTGTTAATATCTCTCTTTAGCAGTGATCTAGTTTTCTCAGGTGTATCTCAACAGACCGTTTCCAGCCAGGTCCTAGGCCCCTCAGAGATATGGAAGTGGAACCCAGCACTTTGAACTCTACCTGGACAATGGGCAGATCTTTTCTGACTGGTAAATAAGTGTAAAAGGCTTGTGATGTGATAAGATCTGTGCCAGAGCAGGAATCAGTAAACTAGATGACGTTGTTCAGATCAAACACGTGGTTATTTCCGAGTTGTACAGATCTATCTGAATGGAGATAACTATGAGAAAGAGGAAGTATTATAAAGCACACGCAGAAGAAATAAATCATAGCATTCTTAGGCATTCCCAAGTCCCAAAGAATAAAACTATGCTTTCAGTAGCAGAAGAATTAAGCTTAACTCTGTGGCATGTAGCTTTGTTCTCAGCATAAGAGATGTTTAGGTCCTGCAGCTTCCCACAACTTCATTACATATTCACTAAATATTTTTACATGGAAATTCTAAACTCATTTTAGGTCACAGGGTGTGTCCATTTTTTATCTAAGTTTAAAAACTTAATTATTCCTTCTTGTATTAGAATTACAACTAATTAGATTCCCTACGAATAATAGGAGAAATGTGCTGTAATTTATCTGTCAAATGCATCCATGTAAAAATATTTTAAAGGCTATAGTGGCCTCTCAAATAAATGTAAATAAAGACCTACTCTGTTAATCACTGTTTTATAAATCTTTATAGTTTTGACAACATGTATCTAGTTTTTCCAGTCTGTTTGCATCACAGCACATACCTTAGGGGTGGAAGAATAAACTGTAGTCTGGGAAAATTAAGCAAATGCTCTTGGTTTTTAGGTGCCTTATGATAGTTACAGATACTTTGAGGTGAGTCGCTTGAGTTTTATGCTTAATATAAGCACAGGGAAGTTGTGGTACAGCTGATCAGCATGGCTTTTCACTAGGCATTCAGGGCATTATTTGCAGCTCAGTGGATTTATTTTGTTCTGATCAATAATCTGAAAAATTTCTGAGCTTTAGGAAATATTTCACTATCCAACATCCATAGATATAAAAATAATTTGATACATTTCTCTTTTAGCATTTAAAATTCAGCATTTGTCTTAATCTGGAAGTCTGTTCTTTTAAGCCTTAACCCTCTCAAATATGAAACTTGAATAGGTGTATGGATGAGCATGATGTTTCCCTGTATAGAAAGTAGTTCTGATGCTTTTGAAATTTCTTGCCCTTACCAACTGTAGTCACCATTTCCCAACTTGAATTGGCAATACCAAAATATGATACCACACAGCAAGTCACTTGCTGGTGGAGCAATCATATGCAAGCATGTATGAAAGTATTACTCCTGCTTGAAACTTCAGTACTCCAGTTTTGCATTTGTTATTTAATTGGAGTTGGAGTGGGGAGAAGGGAGGAGGAGGTATCTTTTTTTTTTTTTAAAGAATATTTGTCACTGATTTCCCCATCTATAGAAGTAATTTCTACTTAAAAATTAGAAATAATTTCAATTGCAAAAGCACACACTAATTTTTTTGCTTTCTTGATTTGATTTCTATGTGGCAGTAAACTCACCAAAGACAAAATGCTGTGGAAGAAAAGGTGATAATTGCTAGTTTTATAACTGGGGTCGAGTGATTTGGGCAAAATGTGGGAGAAAGGTGACCTCTGCTCAGAAGCCTCCCTCCTCATTAGCAGGTGTCTGTGGTTTAATGACTCACCATGGTGCAGAGATTGAATCAAATTAGTTGTTGTGTGAAGCTGTCATTACTCTGTGTGTTTCTCTGTATATTTCCAGCTTAAAGCATGTCGTTCCTTTCATAGCAGCCCCTCAGATTACTGTATCTCATCCTTTCCACATCAAAGTGCTGTCAGCACTTTTATAGTATAAAAAGGATGCAGAGATAATTTTACAATACATTCTCTTCAAGCAGCTTTGACTTGTGCAGTTGCAACATTTCCTTTTATTCTGGGATTTGCAAAAGAAGTTGCACTAAAATGAGTAGCATCTTAAAACTGAACAAAGCCAGGAAACTAAATGTCTATTTGGACCAAAGCACCTCTGCAGGGACAATGAGGATTTTAGGAAGTTAATTCTTCTCAAGTGCTGCCTGAATTATATTTCGGTCAACTAGGAAGAACCATTGACAGTGTGGAAAATGTCCATTCTTTGAAAAGCATGGATCATCTCTTTTTATTTACTAGCTGAAAAAAAACTTGGTACCTTGGGAAGTCTTCCCACTCCCAACATCAAAGGCTCGGCCTCAGCTAGTAGCCAGTACATAGAGAGCTGGGCTCACTGTCTTGACCTTGCTGCTCTATGGGAAAGAAAAAAAAATAAAAGAATTAATACAGGAGGAAAGCAAGTGAAAAGCAGCAGAAAGACAGAACTTTGTAGAACTGGCTTTAACTTTTTAGGACTTTGTTTAAATCCACTCTGCCAAGAAATTTGTTTTCCTCTTAGTCATTATGCAGCTATGCATATATAATCTAAAAATGTTTCACATTGTTTTTCCTAGCCATGTTTGTCATTTGCTAGCATCTATAGAAGAGGTCGTCACAGAAGTGAATAATGACAGAGAACAGAAATCTGAAAAGGTGACAAACTGCAAAAGGGAAGCAGCCTGTGTGTTGGCCAGCAGACAAGCAATTTGGTGTGGTTCATCCGGCCGTCTTCTGTTTCAGGTATTCTCAACAGCTGGGACTAGACTGATCTGACGCAAGACTTTGCCTCTTTTCCCTGGTGGAAGGCTAAAGGTGCTGCATCTTACTATGTCATTGGTGGTAAACTGGGCTTACTACAGTCTTTCCAAAGTGAGTAACAGATTTAGGTTTTCTGATATTCTCCTTGCTGCTTTCCACATTGGCAAGTAATAACATAACAAACATAACAAAGTCTGGAGTTTCAGGTGGATGTGGTGTACCTTTCTCAGGAAGACCTGGGGATCCCTTCTGTACAGTGGTGGTTGAAGGTGGTTGAAGGCAATGCAACAAAGGAACAATTATGGACAGGATAGACTTACCTACTGCCATAAAAAGGATAAGCCTGAGTCAGCAGGCAGGGACTGCATCTTACTTTCATGGAGGAACTCTAAAATTTTGGTTTTATCTCAGATTTCAAGAAATTCAGATTTATTTTTTTTTTGCAACAGGAAATAGAACTACAGATCAATGAATAATTAGCAAAGCATTACTGTGAAAGCATAAAGTTCAGTGAGAGAAAGAGAAAAGTGAATATTTGGATGACTCATTTTTTTGGACTTAATGGAAAATATATCTTGAAATCATGAGAATGAAAGTTTAGATCTATATACAGTATGTTTGTGAGATCCATCTCTACCTAAACACCATTCAGCTTTGCCTTAGAATCATAAAAGATTTGAACTTAAAACTAGTTCTTCCTTCCTTCATTGGTGTTTTATCTTTTAGCATATGACACAGTAGTGCGTCCTTGGCTCTTCATGACTGCAAAGGGACAAATACTTAGTAATAATGTTCACACAGATGTCACAGACTGATCTTGGTTACAGCAGTGTAAATCTGGAGAAACTCAGCTGATCTCAATGGACTTACTCAGGCCTGAAATCAATTATTGCTGTGGTGTGAATGCATGGAGCCCAGGTCATCGGCCCAGTTCTGGCATTGAGATGCAAATAGAAACCAGGGGGAACAGGAGAGCATTGCCCAGGCATCCCAGAGGCAGCTGGGCCACGCAGGGCTCCTGGCACCACCCATGCAGAACAGGCGAGAAACAATGCCGAGGCGTGCCTGGGTGGTGCATCCCGTGTAGCTACACGGCCAAGAAGCAAGCGGGGAGAGATTCAATGGAAGTGGGTAATTGTTATGCAGCCATGCAAGAATAGAAACAAAATGCAGCTTAAATACTCCTCCCCCAAGCCAGCCCCCGTGATTATGCTACCAATAACCACAGTGGTAGCTGTGGTGCCCATGTTTCCATTTCAGTCCCTGGCATCTGTGGGCACTGGCACTGAAGCAGACCCCAGTTGGATGCCTGGAAGGCAGTGCTGTGCCAGGCTAGTGATGGGCTACATCAGTTTAGATAAAATGATGCTTCCTGACACCCTCCCTGTGTCAGCCACCTTGTAGGAACAGGCTGAAAACACACGTACCACGAAGTCCCTTTCCATTTCCTTCCTGTGTCTTACCTCCTACTGCCAACAACCAAGCAAATAAGAACATGAAGTAGCACATTGTACCAGCTTAAAAATTACACTTCCCACCTGATGTGTGCCATTACATAATTTTTTACACAGAGAATTTAACCCAAAGTGGCACATATCTCATATTAGTGGCTGAGTCTCAGTTGTTTTCACAGAAGTACCCCCAGTGGATTCTCTGGGGGGTAGGGATCGGCAGACACTCTTGAAACCCCTTCACCAGGCAGCCTACTCTCCAGCTTGCATTAGCTTTAATAAAAGGCAGAGGGGCTTAAGAGTTTTGTTTCTTTTGCCATATCAGTATTTTCCTATATAGTGACTAGTAATCTATATAAGACAAAATAACACTGAAATAGATTTTTTTTTATCCTTTGTCATATTTATCCATTAGTGATTTTTCCCCTCTGGTAGCACACATAAGTAAATGTGAAGAAAAGAAATGCTGATTAGGCAGCTAATTCTGAAAGCAAAGTATGACATCAAATTTAACGGTGAAATTAATCCTCCATTTCTTCTTGTTCAGTTTTTGTTAGAATTAGTTACTGCCATTTACCTTTCTCCATTTGTTAAGCTCCAAATGACAAATTTTGGAAAATAGTAAATAAATACATAAAAACCTTAATAAACCCCTTGATCTAGACAGGCAAAGAATAAAGCCTCATTTGGAAGGGTTCAACAATAAATACTAAGGAATTGCTTGATTTTTCTGAAGCTTGGTTGTTGTTTTTTTTAAATTCAAGAATACAAAATATTAACTCCATTTTGCAGTAAGTTTGAACTAGTTTACCTTATTTTTTGAAAATGGGGGAATTCCATTGTAGACAGTGGATTTGGCACTTTATTTTGAAAACCAGCCCTAACAGGGAAACTCTCTTGTTCCTCACTTTACTCCATTCTGCAAAGGCCATATGACTTTACAAGCCATATGACTTTACTTGTCATACCTACCATAGAAATACACTGCTACTAAAACTGAGAGTGGTCATTTTCTTCATCTATAGTGCTTTTAGACAACCTGGAACATCTATCTACGCTTTCACTGCTAATTGTGTAAACATACACATTTTAAGTGCAAAGGAGAAAGCTGCCAACTCTTTTATTATCACCTCTTCATTAAGCTCTTGCAGTTTAAAAGACTTAATATGGAATATAAAGATACCAAATTAAAGCTGGTGTTTCACGCACCTCCTGTTTCGGTGAGAATTATCTTGGCTGAACACAGGCCTCAGAGCTGACAAGAATAAGGATAACAAGAGGCTGGAGCCTCTACTCCAGCCCAGAGTTCATAAAACATCCAGAGGGGTCCCTGGGCAAAGGCTGAGGAGGGTGGGGACTTGCCACTCTCCTTGGCTAAAGCCCCAGGTGTAAGAAGGCATTTTACATTAGAGCCTCTCAGAGCTGAAAGGTGATTGGGGCTAATAGATCAAAACAAAGGAGTCTTCTTCACATCACTGTTACAGAAGGAAATTACATGAGTTAGTTAAAAAAGCATTCTGAGGGCACTGAAGATAGACAGAAAATGTTATGTTTCTAGTTATGGGGTGCACATGGTTGGGTCATGGTCATACCTGCAGTAGATGTTGTCGTGCTGGGGGCCATATACTGTTAAATTTCTCAGGAATTAATAAAGTCGTAACTCTGCTTCCCCAGCCTCCCCCACAGGTCAGCCAAATTGTGGGGTGTGCTGCCCTGGCATGTTCTTGCAGAATGGGGATACTTTGAAAATCTAAATACATCTTCTTTGCATAGGGAATACATAATAACTCTACCAACAAGTATCCAGACAGACTCTGCACAGCAACTTTGAGATGCAAATATCCTGTGCCTGGTGAGCCAGTCGGACTGTGCAGGAGCATACAAGTGGAATTCCAGTTTTATATATGGGCACACACCAAATAGTTTTGAGGTGTTGTGATCTAGCTAACCTGCTCTCTGCAGAGCTTTAACCCATCAGTCGCCTACCAGATCTATAGTATTTATTTTCTCTTGCTGGCCACAAATCTGAGATGATCCTGATACGGTCAGCCAGAACAATATTTTCGGTTTTTGATATAATTCAATACACTGAGTGCATTGGCCATACACAGAGTTAAGTGACAGGCTGACTGTTATTTATCAAAGGGCTCTTGTAGTGGCCAGAAGTAAGAAGTAAGGATAGCATTTAGGGCCTTATCCTTCCTATGCTGCTGAGTCACCTCAGTTTCTGTAGGAAAACAGTGAGGAATAGGGGACAAAAGCTTCCTTTGGAATGGTGTCTTTGGGAAGGAGTGTTGTCTCCTGACAGCCAGCAAAGCTATGCTGGCAGTGGGGACAGTTTCTGTGCTCACTATACAGCTGATACTACTCAAAAGACATTACTGGGAGTATCACATAATGCTGATCGCAATAGAAGGTCATTGCTTTCCCAAATTCTGCACTTCTACTTACTGAAATAAAAACCATAATAGAACACATATATATACATATATAAAAATCACTATGGTGATATGTCTTAAAGATACTGTAATAAACACAAGTATTAATTATTCCATGTAAAACCAAACAAACCCCTTGCTCTGGTTCCCCTGAAATGTCAAGCAATTCTAACTGGAATGGGAACTATCCACTATGAATGGTGGATTGTTATGGTGAAGCTGGAGGGTGAGGGTGTCTGCTTTATAGAAATAGAACTAATGAATTAAGAAAAACCCAACACTGATATGATAAGCTCACATTATTCAAATTAGTTGCTATGAGAAATCACTGAAAAGAGAGCCTTTTCTAATTTTTTTTTAAACTGGACTCTGCTCGTGGTGTTAAAAGAATGAATATATGAAATAACTGAATTGTAGAATCTTTATGTTAACTTTCTTTTGATAACTGAGCTTTGGCATAGCCTCTGCTTTTAAATGAGAGCACTCAGTTTGTAGTGCTGGCTTAAATTCACTGTGTGGCTAGTGAGCTTCAGCAGGTTTAGCACTTCGCTACTCCAGACATAGCAGTCGTATGTTTTTTTCCTCCCCAAAGAAGTAAATTATTTATACAGCACCAACCTTTTTAAACCTAGCTTCTGACAGGCTGGGATTTTTCCAATCTCAGTTGAAACTGTCTAAATAATTTATCAAATATTCTTTCGAAGTACAATGAATTCTGAAACCTAA